TGGAGGAGTCACCCCCCTGTTATTCTAAGACACAGGCTGGAGCAGGACACAAAATCAGCCCACACCATGTTCTTGCCAAAAAATGATAGAGTTGATTGCAAATATATATATTTGTATGACAATTTAAAACAATTTATTGAGATTATTTATATTTACTCTGTATCCCAAATGCTTTTTTTTATTTAGAACATGTGACCAGCAATAGAGGACTAGAAGCTCCTCCTGTACCATTTTCCTGCAGATTGGGAAAGAGCTGGGCCATGTGACAGCTGTATAACAATTAGGAAAAAAAGGAACTTAGATTTTTTTTTTTTCTTTTTTCATAAAAATAACTGCAGTGCCATCATCTATGTACGGAAAGAGATAATGTAAATTAAAAATAGTGTGTGTTTAATATCACTTGAAAGATTTGGTCACAAAGAACATACTGTGACACCACACTTAAAAGAAAGATATGCAGTATGCCATGATTACCACTAACTGTAAATAATAGTTGCCCAGATGTTATGATGATCTTCTGGCTCCAATACTTTCTAAGTGCACTGCAAGAACACCTGAGCTGCATAGCTGTTTCAAGTCAATGGACTCAAAAGTATTAAAGAATTAACATGGCATTTTAGGCAATAAGCATTGACAGAAGGAGGTCTGTAGAGGTAAACGATTATTCTATTGAAATTATTCCTTTAAAAGTAAGTTGGGCAAACAGAACATACGGTACATATAAAACATTTTTACTTTGAAAATGTTTTGTATCGTAACTCTGTGCAGCTGCTTCTGCCATACTGTATATTAAGTAACAGTACTTATTTAGCTCTTTCAGCTTCTTGTGTCACCTGCTGGTTTATTATACAAAGAGTAGGCATCATTTACACTGCCAAACTAATTTCCAACAGGGAAAAATAACACAGGAAATGACAAACCTGAAGTTTTTGCCACTAGCCAGATTATAAATTGTGGCCAAGCTGTGTGATATACAAATCATGTTTTAAGAGGACCTGAATTGTGAAAGATGTGCCCAAAAAATGCATTTCCCCATACAGATGATCTTTTTTCCATATTAATGATATACCTTGCCCTGTTCAGTACTGTGTGGAGATGACCATCTTGGCAGAGGAGCACAGATTTGCTTCTTCATGCCAGAGCTGCATTTCTGATTACTGATACAATGATTGATGAAGTAATATTCAAGAAGCAGCAGGAACTGTGAAGGAAGCAGATCCACATAACAAATGAAGCAAAAGCAGGGAGAAACATGCACTACAGTTGCTCAGGTTCTTCTCCAGCAACAAAAAGTAAGCAGCATAGCAGTAATATCACCAAATTTCAAGCAGAAGCAGCAGTACCATAGATGATCTTCACACTGCAGATATACAGCTATTGGGCTATGGAGCAGGAGTGCCTAGGCAGTCAACATGTCAGGAAGAGCACTGCTATTTTTCAGGAGCAATTCAAGGAAAAGTTAATTGGTTAGGTACAACTAACATTTCTAGATGCTTCCTATAGGGTAGGAAATCATATTTTTTTTTTTCGTTCAGGACCACGCTATTAGAATTAGAAATCTTCATTTCAGTTAAAATGCACCATCTACACTGTGTTCCAAATTATTATGCAAATGATATTTTTCTCATTTACCTAGATAATTGATGTAAATAACAGTCAGCATAATTCTCATGTTATCAACTATTAAGAGTACAATTCAAATTTTATTGAACAAACCTCCTAATGATAACAGTATTTTTGTTAAACATAAAAAAACTTATAATGCACTGTTCCAAATTATTACGCACAGTAAGTTTCAAAACACTTTATAGGTTGTAAAGAACTGAAAATTGTCATTTGTTGTGTTTTCAGCATATTTACTGAAATCAAAAGCTATTTCAATCAAACTTTTAACAACATTTTAACTTTTTAAACATTTTACCAGGTCACGTTACATTGTAAGCAGCTTCACAAGTCTTGCATCCATTGAACTTGTGAGTTTTTGGACAGTTTCTGCTTGAATTTGTTTGCAAGATGTCAGAATAGCCTCCCATAGCTGCTGTTTGGATGTAAACTGCCTCCCACCCTCATAGATCTTTTGCTTGAGGATGCTCCAAAGGTTCTCAATAGGATTGAGGTCACGGGAGGATAAAGGCCACACCATGACTTTCTTTCCTTTTATCCTCATAGCAGCCATTGATGCAGAGGTATTCTTTGCAGCATGAGATGGTGCATTGTCATGAATGAAGATGATTTTATTACAGAAAGCATAGTTCTTCCTTCTGTACCAGGGAAGAAAGTGGTCAGTCATAAACTCCACATACTTTGCAGAGGTCATCTTTACACCTTCGGGGGCCCTAAAGGCCATGCAAGCTCTATTCCCATGATTCCGGCCCAAAACATGACTCCACCACCGCCTTGCTGACATTGCAGCCTTGTTTGAACATGGTGGCCGTCCACCAACCATCCACTACTCTATCCATCTGGACCATCCAGGCTTGCATGGCACTCATCAGTAAACAGGACTGTTTGAAAATTAGTCTTCATGTATTTTTCTGCCCAATGCAGCCGTTTCTGCTAGTGAGCATTGGTTAGTGGTGGCCAAATAGAAGGTTTATGCACAGTTGCAAGACTCTGGAGGACTCAACACCTTGATGTCCGTGGGACTCCAGAGGCACCAGCAGCTTCAAATATCTGTTTGCTGCTATGTAATGGTATTTTAGCAGCTGCTATCTTGATCCGATGCATGGATCTGGCAGAAATCTTCCTCAATGTGCCTTTATCTGCACAAACCCGTCTGTGCTCTGAATCAGCCACAATCTCTTAATAGTGCGATGATCACGCTTAAGTTTTCGTGAAATATCTAATGTTTCCATACCTCGTCCAAGGCATTGAACTATTTCACTCTTTTCAGCAGCAGAGAGATGCTTTTTTCCCCCCCATATTGCTTGAAAATGGTGCTCTGCTTAATCTAATTATCACAGGTGTCCGAGATTGTTTTCTGTAATCAAAAGAGCCCTGACACACAATGCCATCAATGAGTTAAACTGAAAAACAAAATATTTAATCTTTGTGACACTTAAATAGAATTTGCATAATAATTTGGAATGCGGTGTATGTATTCAGTCTTTGCCTTGCATTCCACTCTAAGAGAAAAAGTATAAGGATATAGTGATACACTGATATCGGCTGCCAAAAACTATCGGCCAAAAATAGGGTTATTGGTGTTTTGCTGATTAAAAAAAAAAAAACAGCATTAATCTGCACTTTTTTTTTTTTTCAAAGGATGAGCTCACCTTTCATAACATGTTACACCCATATTCAGGGTGTAACATGTTATGAAAGGAGCAGCCTCTGCTCCCCCCGCTGTGACAGCTCTCAGGGGATCTTCTCCTCCTGCTAGCTGTCACTTATTCATGCCTTAGCGGCTATTGGCTTGTAGTTCTCAATGAACTACCACGGTGCTGTGAGTGCTGTGGTAGTTCATTGCTTCTTCCTGTCAGAGAATATCGGCTTGCTCATTTGGGATGTATGGGCAAGCAGATTAACTGACAGGTCTGCAGGAGTCCTGCAATGCACCAGCGATCTGCTGAACGCTAGTGCAATGCTTTCCAGGCTCCTGCAAATAAAATTAAACACATATTTTTTTACCTGCAAAAAATGTGCATTCATTACTTTTTGTCAAAAGGTTAACCTAGCCTTTAAATCATTGTGCAGCATATACATACGTATATATTTGTTTTTTAATTATTATTTATTTTTCCTAAACTGTCCATTTTGGTTTTTGGCCAAGTACGTCTTGAATTTTCGGTTTTGCTCTGGAATTTTCATTTCGTTGCACCATTATTCAACAAAAATACAATTGAATCCATTTGCCAGGCTATCCAAAGCAGAGGATAAGCTAATCAATGTATAGCTGCATAAAAAAAGAAGAATAGAGAAAAGTCTACAGATAACCATGTTTTTTACAGCCTGCCTGTATGAGGCAGAGGGCTAAAAAAATGCAAGATACATTTTCCAATGCATTGTGGCATTTCAAAGATTACCATCATGGATTTGTTTCCTCCTTCAGCTTTCTTGGCACCGAGAGGGTGATTCATATGTCCAATGGAGGTGACAGGGGGAGACAGCTTTTAGGGAGAGAAGCTTGGTGGATATATAGGTTAAGAAGAAAGGTCCTGCAGGGGTTAAACCTGAGATGGGACCTTGATTTGCATTAGTTTCCACATCCTCTCTCCCTGGCTGTATCTGTCATATTACCTCTGTGTGTCCTCCCCTGTGAGTATGTTTTGACAGTCATATACAAATTTCCTTTTTTGATAAATTTTTTAAAATGTAATATGTATACATATTTTCTGATGTTTTTTCTATGCCGTGATTGTAATATGTTTTTATAGTGGTGTTTAAATAACTCCCCTAGCAGAATGATTAATTCTACCATCAATTGATTAGTTAATTGATGACGTTTGTGTTGGGTGGAGTTTAAATATTCTTGCCACTACTTATTGTGCTGTTTTACCGGTTATTTGTTATGACTAAAGCTGGCTAGGCTGAAATACATCAACATGCTGTATTGGCTATGTACACTGTGGATTTATTAATAAATTTGAGATTTTATGAACAAATGAGGTACAGATCATTTGTTTGGAAGATATTTTTTGCAGTTGTGCGATTGAAGATCGTGTACTCATTATTTCAAAGGGATCTTTGTTATTCCATGGGGTAATAGTACCTGACACTTTGCTATATTTTTGGGGGGTAACTAAATAATGTTATTGAGTAAGGAGCCTGCAAAAGTTACTTGGCCTCACAAGAAACAGAAAAAAAGACTCCCATGAACATATGTGTGTCAGTGGTTGAAGGCTTATTAAAAAAAAAAGCATGACATTTCTTCTTTAAAATGGCATTGGGAATTTGTATGCAAAAAAGCAACCCAGCATCTATGAACATCATTGATATAGCTGTTACATTACTCTGAAAAGGACAGAAAGAAAAAAGAAAAAACATTGTATAGATCATACCCGTTCCATATCCACTGTACTGTCTTCTTTCACGCTCTATGGTCTGTTTAATGACAGTCTCCCGGGAGCCATGCTGCCTTGCTTGTCTACCCTTGATGCTGTTGTGCAGTTCAATTTGTTCTAACTCAGCATCGAACCGATGTAAGTAGCTGAAAAATCAGAGAAAATGATTGTGGTGATCACTTTTAATATCAGCCAATTGATATTAAACTGATAGTATGTGTCCTGCATTGAACAGTAGAATCAGAAAATATAATTGGCAAAATTGTGTGAACTGGGATACTTTTACTTTTTACATAAAAAGCAGGCAAAACCAAAATGAGGAACTTCAAACAATGACGGTTTATTTTAAATGGCATACCTCAAAATCCTATAAAAATAAAACTCACTGCGCTTAGGCTAGATAACTCAAACTAGAAAGAGCTGCCAGCACTAAGAGATCAGATACTAAAACTCCCTAAGATGGATGAAAGTAAAAAAGTGCAGCACTAGGAAATCTCAGACCATTATGTGAATGCTGAAAATAAAACATGTGCATGTCCAAATGAATCAATCACTTATAAATCCAATATATCAGTGAAAAAAATGCACATCCACTAAAAATGACATATAAAATGTGCCATATAAAGTCCATAAAAGGATATAAAGAAGCAAATAGTCTTCACAATCTGAAGCAAGAAACACCCAAGTATTTGGAAAGAAATCAGTGATAGCAATAAGACTCACGAGTGGTGCACCCCATCCAGATCATTCACTCTGCAGCTCCTTACCAGATCCAGTTGACCCCTGTGTTGCAGATGGTCAAACAGTGCTTGTGGGGTTAAGGTCTCCCATCAACCTGCATGTTTCCTTTGCTGGGCCAATAAGGGTGTGCAGCCACAATTTCTCAAAGGTAAGATATGAGAAGCAATCTTGTTGAGGGTAAAGTTCCAAAGATCAGTTGAGCAGCATGCTTATGAAGAAGATAATATTCTTACAGCTATTCTCACACAGCATGGGATAAAAGCTTTATGGGCTGTAACACAGGGGTCAACTGGATTTGGCACGGATCACCATCCGTAGAGTGTCTAAAACATTAAATGCGTCCCAGCTCACAGTTTAGCAGCCACCCAGAAGGAGATAGCAGGAGACACATAAAACGTGTGCTGGGCTCCATAGACAAGGGTAAAGACTGTCTGTTATGTGCATACCTGAACACCTCCCAGTACTTGTACTGTATGGCGGCAGGGAGCCATCTAGACCATCACTGCGCCCTGGAGCAGACAAAGTACAAGCACTGGAAGTTGTACAGGAAGGGCACAAAGTAAACATGCCAAGACAGATATTTTTTGCCCCTCTACTGGGCATACTTCAAAGGGAGTCTTTCAAGGCAGAACCAGTCCCATGTCTTCCTCTCAGCAGGGTCCTGATACAGCTTTCCGTTTCTATGCCAAGATTTAGCTGTTTTGGAAAAGCTGCAAAGTGAGCTTCTTTAGCTCTGTAGCATAGATAAATTCATGATAGAATAAAAAAAATGATCCTGAAAAAAGTGTAATAAAGGCAAAACAAATGGGTTTGTTTCTCAGAGCAGGGAAGATGCTCTCCTACAACGCTAGCAAGAAACGGATGTATGGTGGGAATGGGAGGGATAATACTGGCTCAAACTTTTTTGTTTGTCAGTGTCCAATTCTCCTACAGATGGCAGCATAACTCTGCTGTCTAGAATTAGTTATGACATTTCTCTCATACATGAAAAAAATCAGCAATTTTTTATTTGCTAGAAAATTGTTTAGAAACCCCAAATGTATATATATATATATGTTTCAATCAGAGGCCCTGGAGAATAATATGGTTGTTGTTGCAGTTATTTATGTCACATGATATTTGTGCAGCAGTTTATGAAACGCAAATTTCCAGAAAAAATACATTTTAATGAATTTTGGTGAAAACAAATACAATAACCACATTTAAAATGTAAAAGATGATGTTACGCTGAGTAAATAGATCAAACAAAATCAAGCTTTAAAATTGCACAAGCCCATGGAATGGCGACAAACTAGGGCAAAATAAATTATCCATAGGCAATGTTTTAAAAGTCTTTACAGGTTACCAGTTTAGAGTAGATGCCCCATTCTTCTGCAATTCACTTCTTTCACTCCTGTATGCAAATCAGTGGAAGTCAATGTGACTGCATGGCAAATACATGACAAACATAAACATGTTTCTATTGCAAACCGTGCCTCCCTGTAGGTACCTAAAAGCATGGTGTGTTTGATTTGCATTTAAGGCTAATAGCCACGTACAGTAACCCAATATATAATAAATAGTACCCTATATAAAATACATAGTAACACCTGCTGGAAATATTTCAACCTTTCCAACTAGGAACCTCAGTTTTAATGGAATGTAATTAACCCTTCCTACCTTTCGATTAGTTCACAAGCTTCCTGTTTGGTAAATTCTGTTTTGTTAGGGTCAAGATGACTCTGAAACCACTGAAGTTTCTCACCTTTAAAAAAGAAAACATGCAGGTCTTTAAAACAGAAAGAATGGATCACAAATTACTTCAGACAAAATTGTAATACTTTTAACTGTGAAAAATGCATAACTTTTACGGGCAGTTTCTTACAATAAAAACAGGCCAAGCAATACCTTCTAAGCACGATGGAAGCATTAAGAGAACGGCTTCTTTCTGATATATGATTGCCTGTCTCTGCTACCAGTTGAATGCCCAGCCTCCTGTCACTTGGGGCAGGTAAAGACAAAGCAATAGTATATAAGCAGTTATGTCAACTGCACAATGCCAAGACACAAGTATAATTCAAGAATTAATATTATAGCAAAAGTATTTTTTAACTGGGTAGGAACACTTTAAACCACTTTATACAGTAATAAGCTCTGAAACTCACATGTCCTTGTTAAACTGATAATAAAAAGGCAGATATTTTTTTATTTAAAAACAACAAACATGTCATACTTACTTGCTCTGTGCAGTGGTTGTGTTGTGCAGAGCAGCACCATTCCTCCTCTTCTGGGGTACTCAGCCAGCGCTCCTAACCCCTCCCTCGTACCCCCCCCCCCCCCCCATGGCAAGCAGCTTGCTGTAGGGGCACCAGAGCAAGCTTGCTCCCGAGCCGCTGCTTTGTATGTCCATTCACACATGGAGTGCAGCTCGCCCCCCGTCCCCCACTCTCTCCTCACTGGCTAGTAGCAGGAGCCAATGGCAACCACTCAGCCAATGAGGAGGAAAATACCCAAGAGAGCTGAGGCTCTTGTGCACATCACTGGATCAAGATGGGGCTCAGGTAAGCTTTAGTGGGGCTGCTGCACACAAAGGTTTTCATCTTCATGCATAGAATGCAAGAAAGTAAAAAATGTTCAGCCTTCACAACCACTTTAAGCAACACTATGTTTAGCTAACCAACAACATAATTACTGTTACATATTACGACTGTCAGGAATGGACTAGCCAGCAATGGTGGGACTCACCTGCCTTTTGATCTGCAGTACCAGGGCTGGCCAGCGGGTGCTCCCAGCAATCAGAGACTCAACTTTGCAGCCAGCTAACACCTGGAACTGATTATGCTGGGGTATTTAAGGGATGGCCAGACTTGCAGACTCTGCCTTGGTGTTGTGTTTCTCTTGGGCCCTGTATCCTGTTCCTGCTCTCTGTTCCTGTCTGATTCTCTGCTGACCCTGCTCTGATCCCTGGCTTGTCTGACCATCCCTCTGCCTGACCCTCTGTACTACGCTGCTTGCTACCTGTTCTGATCCCTGGCTTGTGACCCTGACCATCCCTCTGCCTGACCCTCTGTACTACGCTGCTTGCTACCTGCTGAATCTGGCCTGTGACCCCGACCAATCTCCGCTTGCTCCCCCTGTACCTACCTGCCCAATTGATATTGACCCGGCCTGCCTGACGACGCTTGCTTGTATGTACTGTTATCTGTGGGTGGTTGGTTTGGTTTGTTTGCACTGTATTATGTTTAGTATTGCACTGCGTTTATGTTTGTATTGTTAGTGTTAATAAATTATATTGTTTATCACATATCTGAAGTCTGCGTTTCCCTGCGTCAGTCACACACCTCTGGTCACACCTGGGAGCCCTGACAACGACAAAAGAACAGATGACATCCACTGAATTTGTAGGTTGTTGGATAACCACAGAATGATATGGTAATATACAGTGGGGATCAAAAGTTTGGGCACCCCAGCTAAACATTTGTATTAATGTGCATAAAGAAGCCAAGGAAAGATGGAAAAATCACCAAAAGGCATCAAATTACAGATTAGACATTCTTATAATATGTCAACAAAAGTTAGATTTTATTTCCATCATTTACACTTTCAAAATAACAGAAAACAAAAAATGGCGTCTGCAAAAGTTTGGGCACCCTGCAGAATTTATAGCATGCACTGCCCCCTTTGCCAAGCTGAGACCTGCCAGTGTCATGGATTGTTCTCAATCATCATCTGGGAAGACCAGGTGATGTCAATCTCAAAGGTTTTAAATGCCCAGACTCATCTGACCTTGCCCCAACAATCAGCACCATGGGTTCTTCAAAGCAGGCTTGAAAATGCATCAGACTTGTCTATATGTTCATTTGCAAAGTTCAAACGATGATTTTTGTGGTGAGGACGTAGAAGAGGTTTTCTTCTGATGACTCTTCCATGAAGACCATATTTGTACAAGTATCTCTTTATAGTGGAATAGTGTACCACAACTCCAGTGTCTGCCAGATCTTTCCGGAGGATCGTGCAGTCAAATGTGGGTTTTGAATTGTTTTTCTCACAATCCTGCGAGCTGTTCTGTCTGATATTTTTCTTGGTCTTACAGATCTTGCTTTAACTTCCACTGTTCCTGATGACTGCCATTTCTTAAGTACATTCCGAACAGAGGATATTGACATCTGAAAACGCTTTGCTATCTTCTTATAGCCTTCTCCAGCGTCAACTGTGAGCGTCAACTATTTTCAGTTTTCTAGACAACTGCTTAGAAGAACCCATGGTGCTGATTGTTGGGGCAAGGTCAGATGAGTCTGGGCATTTAAAACCTTCGATATTGACATCACCTGGTCTTCCCAGATGATGATTGAGAACATTCCATGACACTGGCAGGTCTCAGCTTTGCAAAGGGGGCAGTGCATGCTATAAATTCTGCAGGGTGCCAAAACTTTTGCAGACGCCATTTTTTTTGTTTTCTGTTATTTTGAAAGTGTAAATGATGGAAATAAAAATCTAACTTTTGTTGACATATTATAAGAATGTCTAATCTGTAATTTGATGCCTTTTGGAGATTTTTCCATCTTTCCTTGGCTTCTTTATGCAAATTAATACAAATTTTTAGCTGGGGTGCCCAAACTTTCGATCCCCACTGTATGCACTAATAGAAAAATTGGCTTATTGTACTCCCTGTAAAATCCTTTTCTTTGAGTTCATTGAGAGACACAGCCGGATCATAAAATCATGGCCAAAGGGTATTGTGTCACATGCAAGAGTAGGATGCCAAGTACAAAAAAAAAAAAAACCCAGGAAACAGCCCCTTCTGGTGGTCAAAATCTCCATCTGCAACACACAGCTCAGTTTGTAGCCAGTAGTAAGCGGACAATAACACCAAGGCAAAAGGCCCACCCTTGAAATAGGAAAAAATAATATTATGGTTAGTTAAAAATCCCATTTTCTCTTAGGTTTGTTGAAAGAATGCCAAATCAAAAGATCATGACCAATGGAGCATCCCAAAGCAGTGCCAGAAAAATTAAGGTGAAGTCAGAGGTTATTAAACAAAGAACTGCAGAACTCAAACCGCTGCCTGCAAAACCTTATAACTATCTATTATCTGCAAAAGCAACCTTGTAAAACTAGGTAAAGGTATAAACAGACGATCATGATCATGACGATCATGAAGAGGAATGGTGATGAAAGGTCTAGGACGTACGTGATTCCTGGCAAAATGAGCAGTAACTGGGGAACAGAGATTTCAAACTTGAGATGATGCAAGCCTCAACCATGGTCTGACATATCTAATGAGAAATAGTAGCGGGCGAGGCCGATGGTTCCTTCCTAGGACAGTCCATGATAATGAGAAATTTGACTTCTGAATTCAGGCCACCGAATTTAAAGCAAAATTCTAGGCTAAACCTAACTAGTCTTAAAAATGCTCCTGCCCACCCTACTAAAACCTATGTTGACGAAATTATGTAAGAATGAGGAATAGCTATTTTAAGTCTGCCCCGGTTCAATCATGTGAACTCCTGTGCAAATTAACAATGGCAAGCGTTCAACAGCAGCTGGGAATGCTGATGTCACCAACAGGCTCCCATGGCCCATCCATTGTCAGAGGTCCCTCCTATCCCCTGCAGCTGCCTTCGACTGATACAGGGGAGCGAGATCATGTGACTGGAGTGGGCCGTAAATAGGTAAATATAATATATATGGGGTATGGAGCATTTTTGAGACTAGTTAAGTTTAGTCTGGAATTCCAGGGACCACAACCAAATAATGAAGCATCACTTCTTTGGGATGGTAGGGATTAGGATGTAGAGAAAGCAGGATGATGTCTTCACTCAAATGAATCGCCAATAAACCCTTAGGCAAAAAAGTCAACCTAGGAGGAAGCACCACCTTATCCTTATGAAGAACCAAAAATTTCTGTATACAGGAAAGATCAGCCAGTTCAGACACTATGCACGCCAAATGATGTCTACCACATAGGCCACCTTTTGCAAAAGCGTCAGTAGGGATTTTCTCAAAATGTTCTCAAAGGGAGGTTTTTTGGAAGATTGGTAGAACCAAGTTCAGATTTCATGGCGTCCACAGGGGGGGGCACCTGTGTAACCCACAGACTGCAGGTACCCATGTCCGGTGTGCCCCAGTGGAGACTAATACTACAAAAGACATCTACGAGAGACCACTCCACCTGATTCTCACGACAGAGAGAACCTGTCAACTGTCCACCCCCAAAATGTGAACCTTGGACAAGGCCGGAACATGAAGTTCTGCCCATTCCAGGATCCATGCCACCTCCAGTGCAGCTGTCAAGCTCTTTGTACTGGTGAATGATGCAGGCCATGGTTGTGGCACTGTCAGACTCAAGAAGAGGTGCCCAATAGGAGAGAGAGAGAGAGAGACACAAATCACCATGAGTTCCAGAATGTTAATGGAGAGCCTGGTGATCTCATGGGTCTATCAGTCCTGAACCAACAGCTGACAGACTGGTAACCATTGTGGGCATCTTCTAACAGAGGGACAAAGGGAAAAGGGATTCCCAGACAGTAGTGGGGGGGGGGGGGGTGAAAAATCACCAAGACACGGATGCCTTTTCCCTTGAAGGAAAAGACCATGAGGTCTAGAACCCTCACAAAATAACAAATGAATGCAGTCCAGAGAAATGACTATTGAGATGTGAAGATGGGAGTTTTTGTAGCTTCTCTGGTGGAAGGAATACCCTTGGCCACCTATGTGTCCAGAAAAAGGCTTAGGCTCTCCAATCGACTGGAGGGAAGCAAAGAG